GGGCCTAAGTGTGGATTTTTAGGTTTTTGTTTTAAGCTGTCCAGGGAATTCTAACGTGCAGCCAGGATAGGAAGCACCATTCTGCCTAAGTGAGGCTCTTTGCAGTTTTTTCTTAGAACTGGGTATTAAGTGAAGCAGCTGATCCTGCACCCTCCTGGATGCTCAGTGAGGCAAGACCTCAGTACTGTGTTGTTTTTATGCTGTTATGTTTTAAAACAATTGCTTCGGCCTAGAATCCTTTTACTGTTTTAACCTGTTCTACTTGTTTTTGTGGACTGTTTGCATTTCTCCATCTTCACCCTCAATGTATCCTGAATGCCTTCATCAATCTCTAGGGTGGATTTTATGTTAATATTTGGCAAAGGCAAGTAATTCCAATAGTTGACTTGAAGTATAAAGTAAATAAAGGAATATATCTAATTTTTAAAAAAGCAGTCACATTAACAATTTAGTATACTTTCAGAGTTCTGATTGTGAGTTTGTTCTTCTTTCTGAGATGCTTTGGGAACCTTACATTTTGTTTTAGGGGACCCAGTTATTGGTTAGAATAGGTAATGATAATCGTGCACCCAGAAGTGTATAAGTAAAAATGTCGTAGATTAATTGATAAAGGAGTCTTTTTTTCTTTATATGATTCAGTTGGTAAGTATATACAAATCAAGGCATGAAATCATTTACTGGATAAGAGTGGGCAAAATACCACATAATTTCATTAACCTTTAAACAATGAAATTATAAATCCATATGCAAATGTTTAAGGTTATCATTGCCTATCACCCCCTTTTGATTCCTACAGACCGTTAATTCTTCTCTGTCCTGCTGGGTCTTATTAAAACTTCTGACTGATGTACTTTTATTAAAAGGTTTAGAATTTACCAATTTAAAACACTTGCTTTACACTATCACCTCTAATTTAACTAGGCCTATTAAACACTGTATTTTGCAAAGGGAAAAAGTCAATTGCTGTTTCTTTAAAAAATAATAAATTGAAATGAATTTTAAACTCTGCTTAGAGGTGAGCAACTGCTATATACTACTAGGCCTTTTGATAGCTGATTTGTTCCTTTAGTATGCAAATTTTAGGTTTACAGAGATCTAGTGCTTTTATTTAGGAAATATGCCCAGAGGCTAGATTGGTAGGCTTTGGGGAGATAACTAGTTTGGTGTGAAATAAATAGTTGTTAAAAGATCACATGAATTGGGTCCCAGAAGATGAAGAGTAGACTGAGACAGATTGAGGAAAACTGACTGTACTTCATTTCATTTGGCTATACATGTCACTGAATTAAAAATGAAGACAATGAATGATGGCAACACAAAGCAAATTAATGAAAATAAGCCTTTTTTGGGTGGGTTTTCTGAAAAGTTCTGTCTTCTGAGCAATTTAAAGAAACGGGCTGAGTACACCCCTAACCAAAGAAGCTTGGTCCACATCATTCTGGGAGGCCAGCCTTTTAAGAGATTTTAGCTTTAGCAGGGAGGAAGGAATGGGTCAACTCCCCTCCCACCCCCCGCCTATCAAGTCAGCAGCATCACTTCTGGTTAGTGAGATGACAGATGTCACAGAAAACCTCACATTCAAAACTAGAGGGCTCGGGGATGCTAGCTTAGGTTGGCAATTGTAGATATTCTGGCTTGCAAGTGTTAAACAAATAATAATAATAATAAACTTTTAGCTTTGCGAAGTTAGTTTTAAGAAGTCGTACACTTGTAGCACTGCTGTTTTGGAATCTCTGACGTCCAAACATTTATTTTTCCTTAAATAACTGAAAAATAGTGAAATACATTTCTATATCGATAGCTTATAGAATCCACTGTGGTTTTTTTTTTTTTTTTTTTTTAACAGTGCATATATCTGTCTTTTTGGTTGTCTAAGCAGTTAGGCCATTAAGAAATAGAATATTTGAATAGCGTTAGCATTTGAAATGGTCTCTGTATGCCTATTTGTTGTATGTCTCTGGTAGTAGAGGTGCAGAGGACATGGGTGATGATGATGTATGAAGGTGGGATGCTAGATTATTTCATTGAGGCTGGAGGTTTGTAATCTTGTTATCATTAAAGCTTCAAAGAGGTGTGGTATGTAGGAGTAGGAGTGCCAATGCCACAGTCTAGTAGAGTGAGAAGTGAGAATAGCTAATTGGTTCTTGCCAGCCTTAGCAATAGTGGTTTTGGTAGAGTGATAGCTAAGGAAGCCAAGTTATGGTAATTCAAATATTGAATGGAAGTTGAAGTGAAAACAACGAGCTTATGTTATTATTTTATGAAGTTTCACAGGGATAGTTGGTAGGGTTGGAAGAACTGTTATTGATGAAGGAGAAGAAACCAGTGGAGAAGAAAAGGAGAAGACGGATAGTGCAAGTTCCTAGAAACAGCATAAATGAATAGGACTCATAGTATAGGTAGAGGGTTTAGTAATGGAAAAGAGTGTCAACCATGAGATAGGAATGAAAGTGTTATGAGACAGGAGAATTTGCATATGTAGAGTGGGTTCTTAGTTGCAGACAATAGCTAGTTTGAGTTGCATACAGAGATGCATCACATGCTACTTAATTTGCAGAAGTGCCAAGGAACCAAAGTTGACTGTGAATAGCAAGGAACAGCACAAGCCATGAGAAACATCCCATGATACTATTCTAGTAGAAACTCCACTGCCATTTGCTACTTAGCGCCTATGAGACTAGGGATCATTTAGTAGCATATCTACATACATGGTTGTTTCAGAAGAACAAAATGCCTTCACTACAGAATTTGATCTCATTTGTAGTTGGCTACTTCCTTGATTTGCTCATTTCTGCTTTCTAAATCTTGAATGGATTTGGTTGAACCTGGGTTCAACCAAAGGCATGATGCAAGAGCATCTGGGAAATGTTTTCAGCTTGAACTTTGTGAATACAGGAAGTTAGAGTGCATGCTAGAAAGGGATTGCAGTGCAGGCTGAGTAGTTCTGGCTCTTGGTCTTTCATGAGCTGCAATCAAGATGTCAGCCAGAGTGACATTCATTTGAAAGTTTGACTAGCCTGGAGGATCTGCTTAGAAAATGGCTCTCTCACGTGGCTGTTATGTTGATTCTGGCTATTTGGCAAGATGCCTTGTGTACCTTTCCCTAGGATGGCTTGAGTGTCCTCACAACATGGCAGCTGGCAGCTGGCCTCCCCCAGGAAGATCCAAGAGAGTAAGGAAGAAGCTCTAATATCTTTTAGGACAGACACTGTCACTTCCTCTGCATTCTGTTGATCACTCAGACCAACCCCGATATGAGCAAAGGGAGTACACAAAGGCGTGCATTCCTTGAGGTGAGGATTATTGGGGGCTGTCTTGGAGGCTGGCTTCCTTGTACCTTCTTTTCCCCTTTCTTTGGTAGCACAAGTTGATCAGATTTATCTGTAGAAGCAAAAAATGAAATTATTTTAATAGAATGAAACTTGACAAGAATTTGGATAGAATGTGGTTCTTTATATTAAGGGTACATAGTGTACAGTATTGTCAGCCAGATTTTAAGGAGATAACGAAATGCTGTTCATTTACTTGTTCTCAGGTTTATATTCTACAAGCAGAGCTTGTATCATAACATTATCATTCAGTCGAGGCATATGTATTTTGAAGTGTAGAGATAATGAGGTAGTGATACTATCTTCTAGAATAACTCTTCTGTCTTCATCTCTGAAATTCACTGGTCTGGCTAGCTGTCTCTAACGTCATTTCCTCGTCTCAACTCTTTAAGACCCTGACAGACTCTGAGATTGTAGTGAAGATTTCTGTGACATGCTGGGTGGGTATAGACTGCTCTCTCGTGCCTTGGTCACATCTTCGTGTTTATTTTTTCATATCATGTATCACAAATTGAAATGATGTTGCTGATATACTTGTTTGTCACCCTGCATCCTTCTCCCACTCCCCAAAGTAAAGCTCCAGCAGAATAGGGCTTTGTTGACTTATTCACTGCTGAGTCCTCGGCACTGAGTGCAATGCATGGTAGATGCCCAGAAGGTGATTGTCTAAATACATTATTTTTTGAGAGTATATAATACATGATTATTATTTGAAACAGGACACCACAAAAGGTAATTTTCTAATGCACAAGGTAAGTAAAGGTAGAGGTCCGTTTTCTATAAACCAAATGAAAAGAAAGAATGAATATGTTTGGCTAATTCTGTAATTTTTTATGTAAACTGTTTTGGAGCCACATTTCCTATTGATTTGATCACACCTTGTTTTTTCTTGTCATAAATGGTCCTTTTTGGATGAGTTACAGTGTGAATTCTGGCCCTGTCAGAATTGATATTCCTAGGAATCCTGACTTTAATATACACAGAACAGGAAAAGTCATGATAGGCACCCTTGGGTATATATGGTAACGTGTTAGTTCTCTTCAAGACTGTGCATGGCTTACAGGGATCACAGGGCTCTGTGAGTTAAGCAACAGTTTAAACCTGATGTATTGCTTTCCCAGAAAGTAGTATTCTTAAGGTATTTACCCCAGATCTGCAAGTGTCTGTGTTTCCCGGGGGGGGGGATACCCCAAACCTGGAATGCTCATCCATATGCATTCCAACCTGCCTCTGAGATGTTAGGCAAGCCTCAGCAGAGGTTCTTGACAGTTTTTTGGACTATGGACCTTTTGGCAAATCTGACAAACCATTGACCTTCTCCCAGAGATACTTATTTACATAAACCCACCAATTTTACATATATCATTCAGGAGAGCATAGATTCCTGAAGGCCATCCAATGACCAAGGCTAAAGACCTAATCTGAATAATTATTATTATTATTAAGTTACAAATGATTTGGAAAATCTCTGCAGAGACTGAAAATCTCTTATTAATTAAGAATAACCTTAGAATCACTCAGAACATTTCTGTTCTTGCACATTCTTCTCCCATCTTGGAATATCCAAGAGCCAGACTAGATCATCCAAATTAGCTCTTGACCAGCTGAGGATTGAGAATTCAGGCTGGGTTTATTTTGAAGGTACTAACTATGTCTTTTGTGATCTTACAGGTATCTCTGCATTAGCCAGATTGGACATATGTAAAGGGACATCAGTATATCTGGATAATCAGGTAAGCAGATGGGACTTCATTTTTATATCTCCATCAATTCATTCCTCTGGCAGTATGTGGGCATTTTCTATCATGTCTCGTTTACTGCAGTGTGGGTCAGTAAGATGATTGATATTTCTAAAGAGAAGGAAGCAGCCTTTTTTAAGTTTCACCAGGTTATTTCCCTGCTGCTTAAAGTCAGATTTCTTTATTTTTATCTCATTATTATTTCATGTATTCATACATCTATAGTAGACAATAATTCTCTACTTTTCTTTTTATGTATATTCTTTGGAGAGTTGTGGACAGCTCTCATATTGTTCTTTGGTTGTCAGCCAAGTTATAGACATTTAACTCCTTTAATCTTTCTTTGTAATTGAGTTAGCTTGGCTGCTTTTTCCAGATTTTCCCCTTGTTTTATGGTACCATTAATAAACAGAAAAACAGTCTATTGCCTGGCTTCTTCTACACCTTTCGTTCTTTTTGTTTTCTGTTTTTGCCTCGTATTCCTTGTTGAACTAAGGCCAGCCAGACATCATTCTCTGGACCACTTTGGCACTACATGAATGCCTTGCCTGCAACTATCAGTGTCCCATGCAGTAATGCCATCATCAGTATGTCCTAGAGAAAAAAGAAATGTAAAAGGCGAGCAGTGAGGAGCAAAATAATGCATTCTTTAATTACATGGCAGACTTACCCTTACCACCCAAAGTAAATCATTGTACCTGAGCCCTTTAACACAGCTTTTGTCATCCTGAAGCGCTGTGCATGGGCACTAATTTGAATAATAAGAGAAGCGTGTATATAGTTTGAAGTTTGCCCACTGTTCTCACTTGATTCCTTCCCCATGTTCTCACTCCCCCACTGCCTTTCTCAACACGGATCGTGACTTGTTATCAGATTCTGTGGCCATGAACAAAACTGGGCAGGGGATCATTTTGCCGGAAATTAGATAGGCTCAGGTGGTAAATGCTCCATGTCTCCATGTATAACATCTGAGGCAAGTGCTTTAGTTCTTGCTATTTCTGTAACAGCTATTGGTCTTCTTTTAACAGCTGATTCAATGGCAATGTGCAGGAGGAAAGAACTAGTAGATGTTTGGTGCTATTTATCAACACTGTATTAGTAGCACAACTTTTTTCCCCTCTGATTGGCAGGGAGAAGCATACTGCTTCTAGATGATGCTGAGCTTAGTGTAAAATATGCCAGCATGGGATCTGAGCTTGTCACAGTTCATTCTTTCTTTTCATTTGGTTTGTAGAAAATGGACCTCTACCTTTACTTATCTTGTGCATTAGAAAGATAAAAGGTGATACATCTAGGAGCTAATGGCTTATTGGTGTCTTTTAGTCACCAGATTCAGATAATATATTTAGTTGAAGGTTACAGCAGCACATACTCGGCTTTCTCATTTGTGTTAGCTTCACTTCTAGTACAGAATTGAATAGGATTGAAGAGACGGTTTTCCTGTTTGTGTCTGTGGCAACTTTTTCGATGATTTGTGGTTTAATTCTTTAAACATTTTTGATCACTTATCACTTCTTTCTCTGTGAAGGCTTAAAGTATTCAGATTCTAATGTTATAGTCTTTTCAAAAACATTATTTAATTTTAGAGAATTCAAGGTCAGAATAGCAGCTGACATAGTTGTCTCTGAATAGTGACCTAAAAATTATAATACTAGTTTTTTTTTGGCCTGGATTTTATGGTCTGCCTTCGTGGCATCAGATTTTAAATAAGATTATGTGGTTGTGAATCATGTATTTCTTGGTCTCTGGCCTCTTAAACAGGTAACTATATGACTTGGACCCTTTTTAAGTCTGCTTTTAAAAAATGTTAATCTCTCACATGGCTTTTAAACTGTTGACAGTACTGTACTTGACATTAATTTTGTTAGGCAGTTAATGCATTCTTCGGCATAACTTTGTTTCTTGGGTCTTTTCAAGACCTGTCAAAGAAAACAAAATGCTAACCTGACTTTAAAGGGGCAAGAAAATCCCCCCCAAACTATATTATTCTTTGTTCTCTATGTGCATCAAAGTGACAATCCCACACTGTCTCAATTGAGGGAGTCTAGCACAAAAATGAAAAACAGCCTGGCACTGTTATAGGCTTGCAGCCAAAATGTTTTGTGTAGCTTGGTTCTGGCAGTGGTTTTTGTAAGGCAGAGGGTCTACCCTCACAGCATCACCGAAGGAAGGCAGGCAGCCTTAGTGTTTCCCACTTACACTGTTTTTTCCCCTCTTCTCTTCCTCTTTCTTCACACAGACCACCATTGTGAAAAGAAATATTTTTTTCCTGAAATAGAAATATCATTCCCCTTACAACTTCCACATTTAGTAAATGGCTTTGTTCCTTATAGAAGTTGGTGCTAAATTTGCCTTTTCCACTCTCTTAGGTATTTTCTTTACAGTTGCATTTTTGCTACTATTGCTAACTTTGGTCATGTTGACACAGTATTTTTGATTGGTTGGAATCTTGTCTGCTTCAGAATTTATTATTTGAATGGAAACTTTTGAGTATTATTTGCCTGTATTATATGGATTTTTATGCCAGGATACTCTTGTTGAGACCAAAATGTCTGCCATTGTTTTCTATTTTTGTCTAAAATTCAATGTCAGTTCATATCTTTTACAAGTTGCATACTTTTAGAATGTCTGATAAGTCTTGGTAGATAAGCAAGTGAACTTCCATTAAAATAAAGGGATGTGCATTTAAAATATTTTTCCTTTGAAATAAAAAATGCAACGTAAAACACAGAAGTGTTTTTAAGTTTACCAATTCTCACAAAATTATAGTTAGTGCCCTACCATTAGGAGTGTGAAAATGTGGCATAATGAGTTTTAAACAGAGATGATTTGAGCAGGAGACTAGATTTTCACTATGAGCAAGCATTCTATGAAATTTCGTAGAATGTTCCACACAATGTAAATATGTTTTCTGTTGTATTAAGCAAAACAAATGATTTACTTTCTAGTGATCTATTTTTAAAATTAGATTTTTTAAAGTGATCTATTTTAAAAATTAGTTTTGCAATCAAGATAAGAATAGTTAATAGGCAGAATATGTTTTTATAGGAGGAGATTGATATTATTTTGACTGATCTTTATTTTAAAAATTGTCAATGATTTTTGGCAATAAGAAAATTACTTTGAGAAGAAAAACTCATGTATTTTTGTAACAGTGTAACAAATGTGACTGAAAAGGAAGCAAACAGTGGCTTGTGTTTGAATTATTAATGTGAAACTTTTTTATATGCCATATATACCGGGAAATATATCTATTATGGGTACTGTAAGATAAAATTGTGCAATCTAACAGTTGTTTCTTTTCTGGGGATTTATTTTTAATTTAGAAAATGCTTTAAAATTATTAAAAGGATTTATAAAACAGAGGTGTATCAGCAGTATGCATTAAATAAACTCACCTGTTGTTTTCTCTCATTCCGAACAGGCTCAGCGACATGTTGGTTCACTACTTTAGCAAAACAAACAAATACTCCAATTGCTTTGTATGCATAATGCACATGTAATAAATGCTACAATTTCCCATTGCTCCCAATGCTATCTTTTTAAACTTGCAAAGTGGCTTTTTTTAATGCAGAGCTACTAAAATGAATCTGGGTGGGATGCCTGTTAAGTTATATGAATTAAATCTTTCGGTCAACATTTTAAACTTCTGAATTCTGAGAGTTTTGCGAAGGAATGCCAGTGAAACTTTTTTCACTCGATCCAGTTAAGTTCATGACTGTCTTGAATCCCCTGTGGCGAGGTCTGATAATGTTAACATTAGCGAGTAAAGATAACATACACACACAAGCCTCTTTCATTCTGTGTATACTGAATAATGTTTATTGCATATTAACCACTATTCAGTGACTTTAAATACACTTTCTGCAGTAGTTTAATTTTTATTTGCAGTGAAGCTCTTTATTTTTTCTGTGGTAAGAATATATCTTTCAGTGATTTAGGACAATGTGAATTGTTCTATTTATTTATTTATTCTAACTACACACAGAGGCATAGGAGAAATATTTAAGAGCCATAATGTTTAAGCAGTTTTTTGGTAGATACGGTTGAGTTTTTCATTTTTGTAGAATAGAATTTATAGACAATAAATTGTATAGTTTTAATTCAGAACACATAGCAAAGCTATTATATCTTTTTAGTTTGACATTATATATTTTTAAGGAACATAATATAGTAACTTAATCATTATATTTGTAAAAACACAGAGAAACACATTTATTAAGAGATAACAGCAAAATTGAATAAATACTGTTGATTATTTTAACTAGGATTTTACTATATTAAGTACTAAGTTTATAATTATAACTAGTACTTCATTTCATTTGAATGTCAATATAGATTTCAAAGATGACTGTTGGGAAGATGGTTTGAATGTCTTGTTTGATATCAAATATTGGTAATGTAATAACAAATAGCGATTTTTAAGTTTATGTGGTCTAAATATGAGTAATCTTCCCTTAAGCATACGGTACATACTTTAGTGTCAAAATTCAATAGATAGTATTGCATGAAAGGGTACATGTTAATTTCCTCTTAATTTTTGATACGTTTTAATTTCTCCCACCCTCTGACGTATTATTCTGTAGAATACTTTTACAAGTATTTTATGTGTTTTCTATGGCATCTCACACTGCTCACTTTTTATCTATAGTACCATATGAGTTCCTCCTTTTTAGGTTTACACTGCATATTTTAAGCTGCTGATAGTGTAAGTAGATTGCAAGGTAAAGTGACATTTAGCTTTTTGAGTTAGCTTCATTTTTAGCATGAGAACAGGTTTTTTTTTTTCCCCTGTCCTAAATCTCATATTTCCCATTAAAACAATCTTACTAACATTGAACAAAGAAATTTAGGGATTTGGCTAAAGCAGCACTTGAAATGCATCAAAAAGTGGCTACTACAATACAATTTTATTAATGAATGATCTACATTGGTTCCAGCTGTGTCCATGTGATTAGGCCTTCACCAGGCAACAATGGGTATTTCCCTATTGC